CTGGATTTACTCTGCTGCCCCAAGGCCAGGTTCTTCAATGCCCCCCCCTACCCCAACCCCCCCCCCACCCCATGGAGAATGGCAGACCTGCAGGCTGCATACAAGTGATCTCGGCGACATTGCCGGGATCACTTGTACAAAACAAGCAGCAGCTTCCCCGCTGTACATTTAGCTCTGTTTGCCCAATGCAGAGCTAAATGTAGAAAACAACTACCCGCCCGGTGCCCAGAACTGCATGTCAGGAGATAGGAATTGCACACCCCTGCTGCCCCTCTACTACCTGCTGCCCCTCTACTACCTGCTGCCCCTCTACTCCCTGCTGCCCCAAGGCCGGGCCTTGGTTGGCCTTGTGGGAAATCCGGCCCTGCTTCCGTCTGCCCATCACTTCCAACAACTTCCTGGATTCCCAGTGTGCTTTGTGTCTCTTTCCCTGCCGCTTGATGTGATGCAATCTCCATTTCTCAACACTACATGTCCCATCATGCATTGCTTCCAGCAATCAAGGATGATCTTACATTGTTCAGATGCTGAGTTGTAGTTCAGAAGGCGGGCTCTGTGAGAGCGGTGACACCAGGACTAGGTGTAATGACGTCAGTGCATTGAGGACGTCCATCCTATGGGCATCTTCGATAGGTAACATTTAGATGGATCTGGTTATTTGGAGAGGGATAAAACTTATGGAAATTCAATATAGAAATACAGATTTATGTTTTTAGTTTTTGAGCAGAGATTCCCTTTAAATGTGGAATTACTTTTTCACACAGTTGTAGATTGCTATTTTATATTCATTGTCATTAATATTATTATTGTTTTAAACTAGTAATAATAATAATAATAAACACATATATGTATTGTGGAACTCATTACATTTCATTCATTTATTTGATTCTTTTATTGTGTTCCCCCTGAATATATTTAAATATGTAGATAGTAAACAATTGTCATTGTGTTAATAAAATACTTTCTGCCTTTTTGCCTTTTTTTCCATCCTTTGTTGCATCTCAGTTCTGCTGATGTTGTGTGATTCTGCCATGGAGGTACCTTTTTTTTTTTCCAAACACATCCTGTTATGGGATGACAACGCTCTGTTCCCTATCTCCCAGTTGCGCTCCTGTGTTGTCACCCCATAACAGGAAATGCCTGGACTAGGACTTTTTGGCAGGATCACCAAGAGTTACTTTGATGAAAGCTGCAGATTTAGCAATATTGAAAGTGACTTCTGAAATGTAATTTACATGTTAACAATGATGTGAGATTTTAAGGAAATATAATGTATTTATTTTTTTATTTAGGGCTCATAGTGGTTGCCAACTGCCAAACTTCAGGTGAGTTATTGCTTTGTGCATTTTGGAAAGTATTAGGAAAAACACATTTAGGCCCCTCAGATACAACTTTCATATCTATCAGCAAATCCAAGACATTCAAAGAAATAAGAGATGGGAAACGCAGTATGATAAAGAGAACACATATTTTATATAAAAGTGATGGACTACAATCTCAATACAAATGAGTAAACTAAACATGAGATTGTAGTCCATCCCGGAAGCGGGCTTGGAGCGGTGACTACTTTACAACACACACAGGAACCATGGGGAACAGACGTAGTCACCCTCCAGAAGGAAGGACAGTGTCAGAGATGATTGGAGGATCTACAGCCGAGTGATACACAAATAAGATACATTGTAGTTCATAGTTCAGGGACTTGACTCCGGAGTTTAGTGTCACTTTAATTATTATTATTATACAGGATTTATATAGCGCCAATTATTGCTCTCAATCCGATGTTTGCGGCGATATGTAAAATGTGCGGCGTAATGGGCGCAATTGTAATTTTCACATGTATGCGCACCCGACGCATGTTTGCACGCATGTATGTATGGGTGGGGACTTTAAAAAATATTTGTGTGACTTTAAATTATTTTTCATGTGTGACTTTAATTTCTTTTTTTAGCAACTTACATTTTTTTCCCCCACTTAATGTTATTGCTATCACATAGGAAACTAAGAAACCCCCCTATGTGATAGCAAAGAGATGTGACAGGTCCTCTTTATGGAGACATCAGGGGTCTCCAAAACCCCTAATGTCACCTAGGAACCCCCAAAGAAATCTGCTTCATCAGCTTCTCTCCAGGGACTGAAGGTGCTGAGTGACACAAGAATGCGGAAGTGATGTAATATACATCACTTCCACATTCTGACAGCGGAGAGGGGACCGGAGGGAGATCGTATACTGAACTCCCTCTGATCCCTTGTCACCGATCCACCATGCTGGTCCCGGGCTCGCACCGGGCACAGCGATTAGCTGGTTGTCGCAGCGATCACAGTGCTGGGACCATTAATTTGCTGTTGAGGGTCTACCCCCGGACACCAAGGGACCCAGCTACAGCATTAACTCAATGAGCGCTGGTCCTCCGCTGGTACAGCATGATGGTATTATTCCGTCACAGGTCGTTAATAAACTGGACGATAGAAAAGGAATAATCCCATCATCGGTAGGGAATGGGTTAAAGGTTATTTAAGTAAAGAACATAAAGAATTAAAGAAGTAAAGAATTCAATAACCAAACAATGTGATAACATGAGAGTAACAGGAGACGCAGGATAAGATGGGATACAATCTAAAATGTAACACTGAAAAATGTTCCTTACATTTAATTGCAGGATCGACAACAACCGCAACTCTGAATATATCTGCCGAGACAACTGCAGCTGCAACAACCAAAGTAACTGTGACAAATGAAACAACTGCCACAACTACGACTACCACAACACCAACTACAACTACAGCATCATCAACTGCATCTGACACTAGGACAACTACAGCAGCACAGACAACAACTATGCTAGCACCAACCACATACGCATCACCAACAACTACAACTGAACCCGTTACAGCAGAACCACTACTAATTACAGAATCAACTACAACTGCCCCAGCTACAACTACAGAAGAACCAACTACAAGTTCCGCACCTACAACTACGGAAGTATCAACGACAACGGCCCCAGCTACAACTACAGAAGTGTCAACTACAACGGCCCCACCTACAACTACAGAAGCATCAACTACAACTGCTCCAGCTACAACTACAGAAGTATCAACAACAACGGCCCCACCTACAACTACAGAAGCATCAACTACAACGGCCCAAGCTACAACTCCAGAAGTATCAACTACAACGGCCCCAGCTACAACTACAGAAGTATCAACTACAACGGCCCCAGCTACAACTACAGAAGCATCAACTACAACAGCCACCGCTACAGCTACAGAAGTATCAACTACAACTGCCCCAGCTACAACTACAGAAGCATTAACTACAACTGCCCCCGCTACAACTACAGAAGTATCAACTACAACAGCCCCCGATACAACTACAGAAGTATCAACTGCAACAGCCCCAGCTACAACTACAGAAGTATCAACTGCAACAGCCCCCGCTACAACTACAGAAGTATCAACTACAACGGCCCCACCTACAACTACAGAAGCATCAACTACAACTGCCCCCGATACAACTACAGAAGTATCAACTACAACTTCCCCACCTACAACTACAGAAGTATCAACTGCAACAGCCCCAGCTACAACTACAGAAGTATCAACTGCAACAGCCCCAGCTACAACTACAGAAGTATCAACTGCAACAGCCCCAGCTACAACTACAGAAGTATCAACTGCAACAGCCCCAGCTACAACTACAGAAGTATCAACTGCAACAGCCCCAGCTACAACTACAGAAGTATCAACTGCAACAGCCCCAGCTACAACTACAGAAGTATCAACTGCAACAGCCCCAGCTACAACTACAGAAGTATCAACTGCAACAGCCCCAGCTACAACTACAGAAGTATCAACTGCAACAGCCCCAGCTACAACTACAGAAGTATCAACTGCAACAGCCCCAGCTACAACTACAGAAGTATCAACTGCAACAGCCCCAGCTACAACTACAGAAGTATCAACTGCAACAGCCCCAGCTACAACTACAGAAGTATCAACTGCAACAGCCCCAGCTACAACTACAGAAGTATCAACTGCAACAGCCCCAGCTACAACTACAGAAGTATCAACTGCAACAGCCCCAGCTACAACTACAGAAGTATCAACTGCAACAGCCCCAGCTACAACTACAGAAGTATCAACTGCAACAGCCCCAGCTACAACTACAGAAGTATCAACTGCAACAGCCCCAGCTACAACTACAGAAGTATCAACTGCAACAGCCCCAGCTACAACTACAGAAGTATCAACTACAACAGCCCAAGCTACAACTACAGAAGTATCAACTACAACAGCCCCAACTACAACTACAGAAGTATCAACTACAACTGCCCCAGCTACAACTACAGAAGTATCAACTACAACTGCCCCCGCTACAACTACAGAAGCATCAACTACAACTGCCCCACCTACAACTACAGAAGCATCAACTACAACGGCCCCAGCTACAACTACAGAAGCATCAACTACAACAGCCCCAGCTACAACTACAGAGGTATCACCTACAACGGCCCCAGCTACAACTACAGAAGTATCAACTACAACGGCCACAGCTACAACTACAGAAGTATCAACTAGAACAGCCCCACCTACAACTACAGAAGTATCAACTACAACGGCCCCAGCTACAACTACAGAAGCATCAACTACAACGGCCCCAGCTACAACTACAGAAGTATCAACTAGAACAGCCCCACCTACAACTACAGAAGTATCAACTACAACGGCCCCAGCTACAACTACAGAAGCATCAACTACAACGGCCCCAGCTACAACTACAGAAGTATCAACTACAACTGCCCCCGCTACAACTACAGAAGTATCAACTACAACAGCCCCACCTACAACTACAGAAGCATCAACTACAACAGCCCCAGCTGCAACTACAGAAGTATCAACTACAACGGCCCCAGCTACAACTACAGAAGTGTCAACTACAACAGCCAAAACTACAACTACAGAAGTATCAACTACAACGGCCCCCGATACAACTACAGAAGTGTCAACTACAACAGCCCAAACTACAACTACAGAAGTATCAATTACAACTTCCCCACCTACAACTACAGAAGTATCAACTACAACTGCCCCACCTACAACTACAGAAGTATCAACTACAACTGCCCCACCTACAACTACAGAAGTATCAACTACAACTGCCCCAGCTACAACTACAGAAGTATCAACTACAACTGCCCCACCTACAACTACAGAAGTATCAACTACAACTTCCCCACCTACAACTACAGAAGTATCAACTACAACTGCCCCAGCTACAACTACAGAAGTATCAACTACAACTGCCCCACCTACAACTACAGAAGTATCAACTACAACTGCCCCAGCTACAACTACAGAAGTATCAACTACAACTTCCCCACCTACAACTACAGAAGTATCAACTACAACTGCCCCAGCTACAACTACAGAAGTATCAACTACAACTGCCCCAGCTACAACTACAGAAGTATCAACTACAACTGCCCCCGCTACAACTACAGAAGTATCAACTACAACTTCCCCACCTACAACTACAGAAGTATCAACTGCAACAGTCCCAGCTACAACTACAGAAGTATCAACTACAACAGCCCCAGCTACAACTACAGAAGTATCAACTACAACGGCCCCATCTACAACTACAGAAGTATCAACTACAACTGCCCCAGCTACAACTACAGAAGTATCAACTACAACTGCCCCATCTACAACTACAACAGAACCAACTACAACTGCCCCACCTTCAACAACAACAGTAACAACTACAACTGCTCCAACTACAACTACAGAAGTATCAACTACAATGGCTCCAGCTGCAACTACAGAAGTATCAACTACAACTGCCCCAGCTGCAACTACAGAAGTATCAACTACAACTTCCCCACCTACAACTACAACAGAACCAACTACATCTGCCCCACCTTCAACAACAACAGTAACAACTACAACTGCTCCAACTACAGCAGAACAAACTACAACTGCCCCATCTACAACTACAACAGAACCAACTACAACTGCCCCACCAACAACTACAACAGAACTAACTACAACTGCTCCACCTACAACTACTACTACACTACCAACAACTACAAAACCTAAAGCAGAAAACTATAATTATTTCTTTATTATAATAATGAATCTGAGATTTATACCAGAATATAGGGATCCTTCATCCTCACTATACATAGATCTGAAAAAGAAGGTTGAGAATTCCGTGAGTATAAGAACTATTGTTATTCATCTAAATTTCATTCCCGAGTCTCCTGAGATTCCTGAATTTAATCTTCTAGATATGTGAAGGGGAATTGATTAATTTACAGTAAATGGTAACTTTATAAAAGATAAATAAGTAGCTGATACTTTATATAAAAGAAATACAACTCCGGGTGCAGTTCTCATCTTCAGTGTCCAGCACTGTCCCTCACCGACCCTTCAGTCCTCTTCCATGTTGAATGACGCCCAGCATCATTCAATGCACCTCCTCTGAGCCCAGGCTGTGATGGGCCCAGTCCCCGGGACGATTCATCACATGGGCCTGGGATCACACTACAATACCTTTAGAGATTGGAGATGATGTAGTAATGTCAGTATTAAAGACCCATCATCACCGCCGGGAAAAGACCCAAGGAGCTCATGTGACCATCATTAGACAAGTGGAAAAATGGATGTATGAAGGGAATATTTAAAAAGAGATGCAGGAGGAAGAGTGTTAGGAGGGAAGGCCATAAAAATAAATAAATATATATATATCTGCATATATAAAAGAGGGCACAGGGGTGACCCCCTAAAATGTCAGCGCTATTTTCCAATGGCTGGTAAAGGTTGGGCTGCTGTGCTACTGCCTGGCACCATACCTATCTATGCCCACCTATTTTCTGACTGATGAGTTAGAGGTAAGAAAGGGTGTTTTCATGCTATGCCCAGAAACAACATGCAAACAATCTTCGGAAAAAGGAATAGTTTGCGTTGAGCTTGCAACCTGCTGCCTGCATGTGGGGTATATGATATATTAGAGAAAATCTCTAGCCATCCAAAAATGTATTCCCCCTGGAGCAACCAACCCCCCATCCTCTGATCAGTATGCACCCTTTCATTAGTATTTCCCTGCCCTTAAAATTCCTGTGATAACCCTTTACACTTACAGTCATGTGACCATCATCTCCTCGATGCTGCAGATCTTTAAGTGGGGACAAACCAGACACACAGTTATTACTTTGTTTCTGTTTAACAGCTTTCCAATGGACATTGTGACTAGAGGCTAATGGGGTGTGTGTGTATGTGTTGTTATTGGGAAAATGATCTAACATTAACTTTCGACATGACAAACCCATCTCACTAATTCTATCTATTCTCCTTGCAGGCGTTAATTATCATCCGTGTAACGGATCCTGACTGTATTCGTGTCACTGTGCACGGCTTCAGGTAAGATAACCGAATTTGAGAGAGGGGGTGGTGTACGGGGTCCTGGGTGAGGCCTCTCTGACTTCCACCACTTTTAATTTCGGGGAAGTTCTGTGTGCCGGGGATCGATCGAAAGTACGAACTTATCGAGTTGTGGGACCTCATTACTTCCGGTTTCCTCAGAACTACGCACACAAAACATGTTCTGCACAAGCACCATCCGCGGCATTGCCCCATACACATAGACCACAGCAATAAAGTAATAAAATGATCTGGGATCACAGTAAGCCAGCACGTTATTTATCTCGGGTGCCCCACTCAATATGGCCGCCGCTTGAGTGGGGCACCTGAGATAAATAACGTGCTGGCTTACTGTGATCCTAGATCATTTTATTACTTTATTGCTGTGGTCTATGTGTATGGGGCAATGCCATGGATGGCGCTCGTGCAGAACATGTTTTGTGTGCAAACCTCGTAGTTCTGAGGAAACCGGAAGTAATGAGGTCCCACAACTCGATAAGTTCGTACTTTCGATCGATCACCGGCTTTTATATTCCTCGCTGCTTTGGTCCCAGGAGGAGGAATTTTGTCTGGTCACCCCTGTGGTTGGTGCGGGGTGATTGGTGAGGTGGAGCGGTGTATTTCCTGTCTGTGGATAGTTTTGGCTTTACATACACCTTAGAGGGGATCAGTGTACGCGGTCTGTATGTCTGTTCTCACATTATACGTCCCGTGTGATGGCATTATATGTCTGTGTGATGGCAGATCTGACCGGCAAAGCTGAGATATTTCTGTGTGTTTCCTCTACAGTGAAGGTTCCACCATCGCCAACACTTCAGCAGAATTTCCAAATTCCAATCAAACGGACGCGAGGGTCCAGGACAGGTTTGACACAAATGCTAAAAATAACAGCACCTTGGACGACATTCCTCTCTTTTTTGTAAACACAACAACTCCAGGTAGGTGAAACCCTAAAGAAATATTCATTAAATAAAGTTTATGAGAAGCAGGGAATAGAAACCATTCCCGTACATAATACTGGGGCATCACCAGAAATCTACATGTATTAAACACCAACTACCCCCTACGGCCAGTGTCAGCGCCATGTGTAACAGTGATGGGCAGTAAAAAGTGTTATACAAACATCACCGCAATACACAGCAACACACAACTAGTGGTACAGAGCATGTGAGGTCAGATCACATAAAGAAATCATCTATGGATAGACTTACTCCAAGTTTATGGTTAAGATGAATCCGCTTATGTTTTTCCCTTCCTGCTTCCTCCAGCACCCACAACAACTACAACTGCTCCATCTACAACTACCGAAGTATCAACTACAACTGCCCCAGCTACAACTACCGAAGTATCAACTACAACTGCCCCCGATACAACTACAGAAGTATCAACTACAACTGCTCCAGCTACAACTACAGCAGAACCAACTACAACTGCCCCAGCTACAACAGAACTAACTACAACTGCCCCAACTACAACTACAACAGAACCAACTACAACTGCCCCACCTACAACAGAACAAACTACAACTGCCCCATCTACAACTACAGAGGAAACAACTACAACTGCCCCACCTTCAACTACAGAAGTATCAACTACAACTGCCCCACCTACAACTACAGAAGTATCAACTACAACTGCCCCATCTACAACTACATCAGAACCAACTACACCTGCTCCAACTACAACAGAACCAACTACAACTGCCCCAGCTACAACAGAACTAACTACAACTGCCCCATCTACAACTACAACAGAACCAACTACAACTGCCCCAGCTACAACAGAACTAACTACAACTGCCCCATCTACAACTACAACAGAACCAACTACAACTGCCCCATCTACAACTACAACAGAACCAACTACAACTGCCCCACCTACAACAGAACTAACTACAACTGCCCCATCTACAACTACAACAGAACCAACTACAATTGCCCCACCTACAACAGAACAAACTACAACTGCCCCAGCTCCAACTACAGAAGAACCAACTACAACTGCTCCAACTACAACAGAATCTACTACAACTGCCCCATCTACAACTACAGAAGAAACAACTACAACTGCTTCACCTACAACTACAGCAGAACCAACTACAACTGCTCCAACTACAACAGAATCTACTACAACTGCCCCATCTACAACTACAACAGAACCAACTACAATTGCCCCACCTACAACAGAACAAACTACAACGGCCCCAGCTACAACTACAGAAGAATCAACTACAACTGCTCCAACTACAACAGAATCTACTACAACTGCCCCATCTACAACTACAACAGAACCAACTACAATTGCCCCACCTACAACAGAACAAACTACAACGGCCCCAGCTACAACTACAGAAGAATCAACTACAACTGCTCCAACTACAACAGAATCAACTACAACTGCCCCATCTACAACTACAACAGAACCAACTACAACTGCCCCACCTACAACAGAACAAACTACAACGGCTCCAGCTACAACTACAGAAGAACCAAGTACAACTGCCCCACCTACAACAGAACAAACTACAACGGCTCCAGCTACAACTACAGAAGAACCAAGTACAACTGCCCCACCTACAACAGAACAAACTACAACGGCTCCAGCTACAACTACAGAAGAACCAAGTACAACTGCCCCACCTACAACAGAACAAACTACAACGGCTCCAGCTACAACTACAGAAGAACCAAGTACAACTGCCCCACCTACAACAGAACAAACTACAACGGCTCCAGCTACAACTACAGAAGAACCAAGTACAACTGCCCCACCTACAACAGAACAAACTACAACGGCTCCAGCTACAACTACAGAAGAACCAAGTACAACTGCCCCACCTACAACAGAACAAACTACAACGGCTCCAGCTACAACTACAGAAGAACCAAGTACAACTGCCCCACCTACAACAGAACAAACTACAACGGCTCCAGCTACAACTACAGAAGAACCAAGTACAACTGCCCCACCTACAACAGAACAAACTACAACGGCTCCAGCTACAACTACAGAAGAACCAAGTACAACTGCCCCACCTACAACAGAACAAACTACAACGGCTCCAGCTACAACTACAGAAGAACCAAGTACAACTGCCCCACCTACAACAGAACAAACTACAACGGCTCCAGCTACAACTACAGAAGAACCAAGTACAACTGCCCCACCTACAACAGAACAAACTACAACGGCTCCAGCTACAACTACAGAAGAACCAAGTACAACTGCCCCACCTACAACAGAACAAACTACAACGGCTCCAGCTACAACTACAGAAGAACCAAGTACAACTGCCCCACCTACAACAGAACAAACTACAACGGCTCCAGCTACAACTACAGAAGAACCAAGTACAACTGCCCCACCTACAACAGAACAAACTACAACGGCTCCAGCTACAACTACAGAAGAACCAAGTACAACTGCCCCACCTACAACAGAACAAACTACAACGGCTCCAGCTACAACTACAGAAGAACCAAGTACAACTGCCCCACCTACAACAGAACAAACTACAACGGCTCCAGCTACAACTACAGAAGAACCAAGTACAACTGCCCCACCTACAACAGAACAAACTACAACGGCTCCAGCTACAACTACAGAAGAACCAAGTACAACTGCCCCACCTACAACAGAACAAACTACAACGGCTCCAGCTACAACTACAGAAGAACCAAGTACAACTGCCCCACCTACAACAGAACAAACTACAACGGCTCCAGCTACAACTACAGAAGAACCAAGTACAACTGCCCCACCTACAACAGAACAAACTACAACGGCTCCAGCTACAACTACAGAAGAACCAAGTACAACTGCCCCACCTACAACAGAACAAACTACAACGGCTCCAGCTACAACTACAGAAGAACCAAGTACAACTGCCCCACCTACAACAGAACAAACTACAACGGCTCCAGCTACAACTACAGAAGAACCAAGTACAACTGCCCCACCTACAACAGAACAAACTACAACGGCTCCAGCTACAACTACAGAAGAACCAAGTACAACTGCCCCACCTACAACAGAACAAACTACAACGGCCCCAGCTACAACTACAGAAGAACCAACTACAACTGCCCCACTTACAACTACAACAGAACTAACTACAACTGCCCCACCTACAAGTACAACAGAACCAACTACAACTGCTCCAACTACAACAGAACCAACTACAACTGCCCCAGCTACAACAGAACTAACTACAACTGCCCCATCTACAACTACAACAGAACCAACTACAACTGCCCCAGCTACAACAGAACTAACTACAACTGCCCCGCATACAACTACTGCTACACTACCAACAACTACAATACCTAAACCAAAAACCTATAATTATTTCTTTGTTATAATAATGAATCTGGAATTTGATGAAGATTTTAGGAATTCTTCATCCGAGAAATACAAGAACCTCACACGAAGGATTGAGAAATACGTGAGTATAAGAACTATTGTTACTGACCTAAATTTCATTCCGAGTTTCCTGAGATTCCTGAATTTAATCTTCTAGATATGTGAAGGGGAATCGAGTCATTTACAGCAAATCTGGTAACTTTATAAAAGATAAATAAGTAGCTGATACTTTATATAAAATAAATACAACCCCGGCTGCTGTTCTCACCTTGTGTCCAGCACTGTCCCTCACAGACCCTTCAGTCCTCCTTCAGGTTATAGATTGTCATTGCTAAACATTTCTAAAGGTGTCTTTGTTGTTATTTTTATGATTTGGGTAAAGTTCCTCTTTAATCTGCCATGGGGAGAGGTGTGAGCTGTGGTTGCTGACTTCTGAACATGCTGGTACTTTGGCTGTCATGTTATTACATTTACTTTAGTACTTTGAGTCACTGTCAGTAACAAAAATGCAGATAAGGTGTTCTGACTTTACTGGGCTGTTTTGGGTCACTCAAAATATCGAAGTCAGACACAACCAGGCACCTAGCATTTTTATAGAAGGTTGGCAAGAGGCAACAGGAGCCACATTTCTCATAGTACTGCTTTCCTTCTTTTTTTATTAGATTGAGTAGAGAAGAATTGGAGCCTCTGTCTGTTTTTTTTGCTATCCAGGTCTTCAGTAGAGAGATTTCCCTTCACTTCCTGTCCAGGTTACGATGGTTCTAACCAGGGGCGTAACTAGAAATAACAGGGCCCCATAGCAAAATTTTGTATGGGGCCCCGTGATTTCTAGTTATACCCCTTGCAGAGTCCACCTGAGATCCCACCTGAGGGTGAACTTGCAGAGCCCACCATGGGATCTCTATGGTGGGCTCTGCAGTGTCACCCTCAGGTGGGCTGGTCGCACTCCTTACCTGTCCGCCTCCTCTTCCTCCACGGTCGCTGATGGGGCCCGGCCTCCTCCTCCGTCACCGGTCCCGCCTCCTTCTTCGTCACCGGGCCCCGCCTCCTCCCCTGCTGCGGACCACGGGCCCCGCCTTCCCTGCCGCCGCTGGCTCTCATTGACTCTGTGGAGAGGAACGCGCTGCTGCACAGATTACTGTCAGCGATCTGAACAGCGGCGTGTTAGTCTTCAGCCGCCAGTGAAAGCCACCAGCAGAGGATCCCATAGCGACCCAGGCGGCATCTGGCCGGGCTCCACTGTGCCCCGGGCCCCATAGCGGCCGCCTGGGTCGCTATGGTGATTGTTACGCCATTGGTTCTAACAGATGGGAAGGAATATCTGCAAAAGGGACACAAACAGAAGCAAATCTTACAGTAGCTTTCCCCAACTCTACTACAATGAGTGTTTTTTTAATTTATTTTGATGTTAAATTTGGAGATTTGCCCTCACTTCCTGTCTAGTAGAACAGTTTTCAGAAGAACAGGAAATTGATTTAAAAAATTTCCCTATGACCCTGGATAGTAATAAGAACCCGACAGAGGTTCTAATCCTTCCGCGTTCTCTTCACAAACAGACAAATTTGTCTGAACTTACACAGTAATCAAATTACAAATGATGAAACTTTACATTTGGACATGACAAACCGATCTCAATAATTCTATCTATTCTCCTTGCAGGCGTTAATTATCATTAAAAAAACGAATTCTGAATGTATTGGTGTCACTGTGCACGGCTTCAGGTAAGATAACCGAATATTATTATATGGGAGAGGGGATAGTGTACGGGGTTCTGGGTGAGGCCTCCCTAACTTCCAGCACTCGGCTTCCACAATGTTATTTCCGGGGATATTCATATAATTAACATTAAAGCTGAAGTTTTATCTGCTTTTATTCTGCCCTCCCTGATCCCACCCCTCCACCCCCAGGGCCGGATTTACACTCTCTGCTGCCCCAAGGCCAGGTTCCTCAATGTGCCCCCCCCCAATGGTGAATGGCAGATCTGCAGGCTGCATATAAGTGATCTTGGCGACATCGCCGGGATGACTTGTACAAAACAAGCGGCGGCTTCCCCGCTGTACATTTAGCTCTGCTTGCCCACAGCAGGGCTAAATGTAGAAAACAACTACCCGCCCGGCGCCCCAAATTGCATGTCCCGGGCATCGGGAGATAAGAATTCCTCACCCCTGCTACCCCTCTACTCCCTGCTGCCCCAAGGCCGGGTCTTGGTTGGCCTTGTGGGAAAACTGGCCCTGTCCACCCCTTCACTTTTTACATAGCTTACTGAATACATCACAGCACCCTGCCCCAGTACTCCTCTCTAGAACCCTCAGTGATGATGCAAGCAGTGGGCGGGCTCTTGGGAGGAGTTATGCAAATATCAAAAATGCCTTGATGGGTGGATCTCAGTCTGGAGGAGTGGGCATTCCTGGGCAGGCTGTATTTGCATACAGACCACCCTGGGTAACACCCGCATGTGATGCTGAGCCTCCATGAACTGAAATCCAATGAATGAAAGGGGCGGGGCCAGGGGCAATCAGGTTGGGGAGGAGAGCGATAGATGATGCTGGACATCCCCCATCCATGAGGCGGGCTCTATCTGACTGGCAGCAGCTTCTAATGCACATTGTGAGAAGCTCATAGTGAAGCAGTTTCAGTCTAGGAGAGGATACTCAGGAGTTCAGCTTTAAAGGAAATTTTAAGATAAAACGGTTCTTTTAGTCTTTTATACAGTTTGGAAATAAATTAATTAAAGGAGAACTATGGGGTCAGTGTTTTTCCAAATACATCTCCTTAGGGTAACGGGAGGACACAAACTAGCGTCCTCCCGTCACCCTAAGCTCAGTATATAGGGAGCTACAGCTACAGATCTACTGAGCCGACCTGTGACAGTCTCATTGTCACAGGTCGGCTAGAACTATGAGGTGAGTGAAAAGCACCCCCCTCATAGTTCTCCTTTAAAAGATAATTTTATGACATTTTGTGTTTTACCTCTCTATACCAATAAAAACTGATTGAATAAAAAAAAAAGATAATTTTATAAAGCCTTTTAAAATTGTAAAAAAAAGTCATTTCGGATTCCGCCTGACAAATTTTTACATTTTGGTTTCAGTCTAAAAAATTAATTTGGGTGCATCCCTTGTCTTGACGTGTTTCGGCCTCCACAGCCTTAGTCATAACAGTTACAATTGCTTCTTTGTATACAAGATGAATAACTATTAATAGAATTTCGGGGAAGTTCTGTGTTCCGGCTTTTATATTCCTCGCCGCTGATCCCAGGAGGAGGAATTTTGTCTGGTCACCTCTGTGGTTGGTGCGGGGTGATTGGTGAGGTGGAGCGGTGTATTTCCTGTCTGTGGATAGTTTTGGCTTTACATACACCTTAGAGGGGATCAGTGTACGCGGTCTGTATGTCTGTTCTCGCACTATACAGTACGTCCCGGGTTGTTACAAAGAGTCATATGTCTGTGTGATGGCAGATCTGACCTGCTAAGCTGAGATATTTCTGTGTTTCCTCTACAGACCAGGTTCCACCATCGCCAACACTTCAGCAGAATTTCCGAATAACACTCAAACGGACATGGGAGTCCAGGACAAGTTTGACACAAATGCTAAAAATAGTACTAACAGCACCTTGGACGGCATTCCTCTCTTTTTTGTAAACACAACAACTCCAGGTAGGTGAAACCTTAAAAAAAATATTCATTAATAAAGTTTATGAGAAGCAGGAAATAGAAACCATTCCCGTACATAATACTGGGGCATCACCAGAAATCTACATGTATTAAACACCAACTACCCCCTACGGCCAGTGTCACCCCCATGTGTTACAGTGATGGGCAGTAAAAGGCATTATACACACATCACCACAATACACAGCAACACACAACTAGTGGTACAGAGCATGTGAGGTCAGATCACATAAAGAAATCATCTATGGATAGACTTACTCCAAGTTTATGGTTAAGATTAATCCGCTTATGTTTTTCTCTTCCTGCTTCCTCCAGCACCCACAACAACTACAACAGAACCAACTACAACGGCCCCCGATACAACTACAGAAGTATCAACTACAACTGCCCCCGATACAACTACCGAAGTATCAACTGCAACCGCCCCCGACTACAACTGCCCCCGATACAACTACAGAAGTATCAACTACAACTGCCCCCGATACAACTACAGAAGTATCAACTGCAACCGCCCCCGCTACAACTACCGAAGTATCAACTACAACGGCCCCAGCTACAACTACAGAAGTATCAACTACAACAGCCCCCGATACAACTACAGAAGTATCAACTACAACTGTTCCACCTACAACTACAGAAGTATCAACTACAACTGCCCCAGCTACAACTACCGAAGTATCAACTACAACGGCCCCCGCTACAACTACAGAAATATCAACTACAACGGCCCCCGCTACAACTACAGAAATATCAACTACAACGGCCCCCGCTACAACTACAGAAATATCAACTACAACGGCCCCCGCTACAACTACAGAAATATCAACTACAACGGCCCCCGCTACAACTACAGAAATATCAACTACAACGGCCCCCGCTACAACTACAGAAATATCAACTACAACGGCCCCCGCTACAACTACAGAAATATCAACTACAACGGCCCCCGCTACAACTACAGAAATATCAACTACAACGGCCCCCGCTACAACTACAGAAATATCAACTACAACGGCCCCCGCTACAACTACAGAAATATCAACTACAACGGCCCCCGCTACAACTACAGAAATATCAACTACAACGGCCCCCGCTACAACTACAGAAATATCAACTACAACGGCCCCCGCTACAACTACAGAAATATCAACTACAACGGCCCCCGCTACAACTACAGAAATATCAACTACAACGGCCCCCGCTACAACTACAGAAATATCAACTACAACGGCCCCCGCTACAACTACAGAAATATCAACTACAACGGCCCCCGCTACAACTACAGAAATATCAACTACAACGGCCCCCGCTACAACTACAGAAATATCAACTACAACGGCCCCCGCTACAACTACAGAAATATCAACTACAACGGCCCCCGCTACAACTACAGAAATATCAACTACAACGGCCCCCGCTACAACTACAGAAATATCAACTACAACGGCCCCCGCTACAACTACAGAAATATCAACTACAACGGCCCCCGCTACAACTACAGAAATATCAACTACAACGGCCCCCGCTACAACTACAGAAATATCAACTACAACGGCCCCCGCTACAACTACAGAAATATCAACTACAACGGCCCCCGCTACAACTACAGAAATATCAACTACAACGGCCCCCGCTACAACTACAGAAATATCAACTACAACGGCCCCCGCTACAACTACAGAAATATCAACTACAACGGCCCCCGCTACAACTACAGAAATATCAACTACAACGGCCCCCGCTACAACTACAGAAATATCAACTACAACGGCCCCCGCTACAACTACAGAAATATCAACTACAACGGCCCCCGCTACAACTACAGAAATATCAACTACAACGGCCCCCGCTACAACTACAGAAATATCAACTACAACGGCCCCCGCTACAACTACAGAAATATCAACTACAACGGCCCCCGCTACAACTACAGAAATATCAACTACAACGGCCCCCGCTACAACTACAGAAATATCAACTACAACGGCCCCCGCTACAACTACAGAAATATCAACTACAACGGCCCCCGCTACAACTACAGAAATATCAACTACAACGGCCCCCGCTACAACTACAGAAATATCAACTACAACGGCCCCCGCTACAACTACAGAAATATCAACTACAACGGCCCCCGCTACAACTACAGAAATATCAACTACAACGGCCCCCGCTACAACTACAGAAATATCAACTACAACGGCCCCCGCTACAACTACAGAAATATCAACTACAACGGCCCCCGCTACAACTACAGAAATATCAACTACAACGGCCCCCGCTACAACTACAGAAATATCAACTACAACGGCCCCCGCTACAACTACAGAAATATCAACTACAACGGCCCCCGCTACAACTACAGAAATATCAACTACAACGGCCCCCGCTACAACTACAGAAATATCAACTACAACGGCCCCCGCTACAACTACAGAAATATCAACTACAACGGCCCCCGCTACAACTACAGAAATATCAACTACAACGGCCCCCGCTACAACTACAGAAATATCAACTACAACGGCCCCCGCTACAACTACAGAAATATCAACTACAACGGCCCCCGCTACAACTACAGAAATATCAACTACAACGGCCCCCGCTACAACTACAGAAATATCAACTACAACGGCCCCCGCTACAACTACAGAAATATCAACTACAACGGCCCCCGCTACAACTACAGAAATATCAACTACAACGGCCCCCGCTACAACTACAGAAATATCAACTACAACGGCCCCCGCTACAACTACAGAAATATCAACTACAACGGCCCCCGCTACAACTACAGAAATATCAACTACAACGGCCCCCGCTACAACTACAGAAATATCAACTACAACGGCCCCCGCTACAACTACAGAAATATCAACTACAACGGCCCCCGCTACAACTACAGAAATATCAACTACAACGGCCCCCGCTACAACTACAGAAATATCAACTACAACGGCCCCCGCTACAACTACAGAAATATCAACTACAACGGCCCCCGCTACAACTACAGAAATATCAACTACAACGGCCCCCGCTACAACTACAGAAATATCAACTACAACGGCCCCCGCTACAACTACAGAAATATCAACTACAACGGCCCCCGCTACAACTACAGAAATATCAACTACAACGGCCCCCGCTACAACTACAGAAATATCAACTACAACGGCCCCCGCTACAACTACAGAAATATCAACTACAACGGCCCCCGCTACAACTACAGAAATATCAACTACAACGGCCCCCGCTACAACTACAGAAATATCAACTACAACGGCCCCCGCTACAACTACAGAAATATCAACTACAACGGCCCCCGCTACAACTACAGAAATATCAACTACAACGGCCCCCGCTACAACTACAGAAATATCAACTACAACGGCCCCCGCTACAACTACAGAAATATCAACTACAACGGCCCCCGCTACAACTACAGAAATATCAACTACAACGGCCCCCGCTACAACTACAGAAATATCAACTACAACGGCCCCCGCTACAACTACAGAAATATCAACTACAACGGCCCCCGCTACAACTACAGAAATATCAACTACAACGGCCCCCGCTACAACTACAGAAATATCAACTACAACGGCCCCCGCTACAACTACAGAAATATCAACTACAACGGCCCCCGCTACAACTACAGAAATATCAACTACAACGGCCCCCGCTACAACTACAGAAATATCAACTACAACGGCCCCCGCTACAACTACAGAAATATCAACTACAACGGCCCCCGCTACAACTACAGAAATATCAACTACAACGGCCCCCGCTACAACTACAGAAATATCAACTACAACGGCCCCCGCTACAACTACAGAAATATCAACTACAACGGCCCCCGCTACAACTACAGAAATATCAACTACAACGGCCCCCGCTACAACTACAGAAATATCAACTACAACGGCCCCCGCTACAACTACAGAAATATCAACTACAACGGCCCCCGCTACAACTACAGAAATATCAACTACAACGGCCCCCGCTACAACTACAGAAATATCAACTACAACGGCCCCCGCTACAACTACAGAAATATCAACTACAACGGCCCCCGCTACAACTACAGAAATATCAACTACAACGGCCCCCGCTACAACTACAGAAATATCAACTACAACGGCCCCCGCTACAACTACAGAAATATCAACTACAACGGCCCCCGCTACAACTACAGAAATATCAACTACAACGGCCCCCGCTACAACTACAGAAATATCAACTACAACGGCCCCCGCTACAACTACAGAAATATCAACTACAACGGCCCCCGCTACAACTACAGAAATATCAACTACAACGGCCCCCGCTACAACTACAGAAATATCAACTACAACGGCCCCCGCTACAACTACAGAAATATCAACTACAACGGCCCCCGCTACAACTACAGAAATATCAACTACAACGGCCCCCGCTACAACTACAGAAATATCAACTACAACGGCCCCCGCTACAACTACAGAAATATCAACTACAACGGCCCCCGCTACAACTACAGAAATATCAACTACAACGGCCCCCGCTACAACTACAGAAATATCAACTACAACGGCCCCCGCTACAACTACAGAAATATCAACTACAACGGCCCCCGCTACAACTACAGAAATATCAACTACAACGGCCCCCGCTACAACTACAGAAATATCAACTACAACGGCCCCCGCTACAACTACAGAAATATCAACTACAACGGCCCCCGCTACAACTACAGAAATATCAACTACAACGGCCCCCGCTACAACTACAGAAGTATCAACTGCCCCAGCTACAACTACCGAAGTATCAACTACAACGGCCCCCCCTACAACTACAGAAGTATCAACTACACCTGTCCCACCTACAACTACAGAAGTATCAACTACAACTGCCCCAGCTACAACTACAGAAGTATCAACTACAACTGCCCCAGCTACAACTACAGAAGTATCAACTACAACTGCCCCCGATACAACTACAGAAGTATCAACTACAACGGCCCCAGCTACAACTACAGAAGTATCAACTACAACTGCCCCCGCTACAACTACAGAAGTATCAACTACAACTGCCCCAGCTACAACTACAGAAGTATCAACTACAACGGCCCCAGCTACAACTACAGAAGCATCAACTACAACTGCCCCCGCTACAACTACAGAAGTATCAACTACAACTGCCCCAGCTACAACTACAGAAGTATCAACTACAACAGCCCCCGCTACAACTACAGAAGTATCAACTACAACTGCCCCTGCTACAACTACAGAAGTATCAACTACAACTGCCCCCGCTACAACTACAGAAGTATCAGCTACAACTGTCCCCGCTACAACTACAGAAGTATCAACTACAACTGCCCCAGCTACATCTACAGAAGTATCAACTACAACAGCCCCCCATACAACTACAACAGCACTGACCACAACTACAACTACAATACCAAAACCCCAAACCTATAATTATTTCTTTGTTATAATAATGAATCTGAAATTCGATGAAGATTTTAGGAATTCTTCATCCGAGAAATACATGAACCTCACACGAAGGATTGAGACATACGTGAGTATAAGAACTATTGTTATTGACCTAAATTTCATTCCGAGTTTCCTGAGATTCCTGAATTTAATCTTCTAGATATGTGAAGGGGAATCGAGT